CTTGAATTTTTGTAAAGGTTTAGTCGGACACAGGGAAAAGTCGTTGGAGTTTGTGCTGGTGTATCCGTGGGGTTTTGTCAAACTATCAAGAAAACGTTTTAGGTCAAGGATGATTTGGGTTTAAGGGGCCTGAGTGTAGATTGCACAGTATAATGTGGTTATGAACTGGGGTAATTTTTGTCATGAAGAGTGGGGGGGGGTGTTGCCAGGGATGGGATTTAGTGATTATTTTACGCGCTTTTTTTTTGGGGTTATTTTGGCTTTTTGGGTGTTGCTGGAGTTGATCCCCAAGCACAAATAGCTAGGGAGGGATGGATAAATAAGGAGTGGTATAGTGGGGGAGAAGGGGGATTTTGCGGCACGTTTAAACGTATCTTGGGAATCCCAAACCCTTTTTGGGTAAATTTTTTTTTGGGTTTGGTTTTGGGTATGGGTGCTGAAATTAAGGGGTTGTCAAAGGAAGGCCCCAAATTTTCCCTCATTTTGTTGGTAATTAGAGTGTTGTCGATCTTAATACTGAACAAACGAGCCCAGGGAGGGGGCTTATTAACCTCGTTACACCTTCCTCTTTGTATTGACGATGAAGCCACTGTGTGGCGAAACGTTTCTTCAATAAAGATTCCCATATGTTGCATAAGTGTCTCAATTCTTTAATTAGCTTGTCGGTTTTCAAAACCATTTATTACATCTACTAAGGCTGTCGAAAACGTCATGGACACCGCCAGTCGAGGTATTAGTTGGGTATTAGTTGTATTAGTTGTATTAGTTGTATTAGTTGTATTAGTTGGGGACAGTCAGATTAACTTTATGGAATATTTTGTCGTATTAAGTAAAAAAAGAAGAAAAATGTGGATTGTTGTGGTTGAACTAGAGAAAAATGTGTAATGTTTTCCTTGTGATGAATCGGAGAAAATGTGTAATATTTTCCTTGTGATGAATCAGAGAAAATGTGTAATATTTTCCCTGTGATGGATCAGAGAAAATGTGTAATATTTTCCCTGTGATGAATCAGAGAAAATGTGTAATATTTTCCCTGTGATGAATCAGAGAAAATGTGTAATATTTTCCCTGTGATGAATCAGAGAAAATGTGTAATATTTTCCCTGTGATGAGTCAGAGAAAATGTGTAATATTTTCCCTATGATGAATCAGAGAAAATGTGTAATATTTTCCCTATGATGAATAGGAGAAAATGTGTAATATTTTCCCTGTGATGAATCAGAGAAAATGTGTAATATTTTCCCTGTGATGAATCAGAGAAAATGTGTAATATTTTCCCTGTGATGAATCGGAGAAAATGTGTAATATTTTCCCTGTGATGAATCAGAGAAAATGTGTAATATTTTCCCTGTGATGAATCAGAGAAAATGTGTAATATTTTCCCTGTGATGAATCGGAGAAAATGTGTAATATTTTCCCTATGATGAATCGGAGAAAATGGGTAATATTTTCCCTGTGATGAATCAGAGAAAATGTGTAATATTTTCCCTGTGATGAATCAGAGAAAATGGGTAATATTTTCCCTGTGATGAATCAGAGAAAATGTGTAATATTTTCCCTGTGATGAATCAGAGAAAATGGGTAATATTTTCCCTGTGATGAATCAGAGAAAATGGGTAATATTTTCCCTGTGATGAATCAGAGAAAATGGGTAATATTTTCCCTGTGATGAATCAGAGAAAATGGGTAGTGTTTTCCCTGTGATGAATCGGAGAAAATGGGTAATGTTTTCCCTGTGATGAATCGGAGAAAATGGGTAGTGTTTTCCCTGTGATGAATCGTAGAAAATGGGTAGTGTTTTCCCTGTGATGAATCGTAGAAAATGGGTAATGTTTTCCCTGTGATGAATCGTAGAAAATGGGTAATGTTTTCCCTGTGATGAATCGGAGAAAATGGGTAGTGTTTTCCCTGTGATGAATCGTAGAAAATGTGTAATGTTTTCCCTGTGATGAATCGTAGAAAATGGGTAGTGTTTTCCCTGTGATGAATCGTAGAAAATGGGTAGTGTTTTCCCTGTGATGAATCGTAGAAAATGGGTAGTGTTTTCCCTGTGATGAATCGGAGAAAACGTGTAGTGTTTTCCCTGTGATGAATCGGAGAAAACGTGTAGTGTTTTCCCTGTGATGAATCGGAGAAAATGGGTAGTGTTTTCCTTGTGATGAATCGGAGAAAATGGGTAGTGTTTTCCCTGTGATGAATCAGAGAAAATGGGTAATATTTTCCCTATGCTTTATATGAAATGTAGTGAAAATGTTTATTACTGACAATTCTTGTAATTAAGAAAATGTATTAAAGAAAATAAAAAAGGAAAATAAATGAAGGAAAATATTGTGTATTAGAGTTATCGATGTGTTTTAGTTTATTAAGGTAAGGAGAGGGCACAGTGACCCAGCTTAATATTACTTGATTCAGCGTGTTGTATCCTGAGTGAGGTCATGGGGAGTTATCATGTGACGTCACACCCCACCTGTGTTTACTCAGCTGCCAGTGACGTCACATCCATCTTGTTTGGACTTGCATACGTATGAGCACCTCCCGTAGGGAGGATCCAAAACTTGATCCGAGGAAGTGGAGAGTAATTCTTGATCCAAGGAGATGGAGCAGGGATATTGGATTTAGAGGGTGAAGGGAGGTGGGGAGAGTGATCTTGATCCGAGAAAGTGGAGGGTAAATCTTAATCCAAGGAGATGGAGCAGGAATATTGGGTTTAGAGGGTGATGGGAGATGGGGAGGGTGATCTTGATCCGAGGACGTGAAGCAGGGATTTTGGGGAGACGGAAGCGGGTTGTGGGAGGTGTGAGGGTGATGGAGGTCTTCATCCGAGGAGTTGGAAACTACAAGAAAATGGAAAAAAATCGAAATTTTTGGTTAGATGGAAGTTGATGGTGGGAGGTGTGAGGGAAGTCTTGATCCGAGGAGTTATAAGGTAATCTTGATCCATGGAGATAGAGCAGGAATAACGGCTTTAGAGAGTGTGGAGAGTTGGGGAGGGTGATCTTGATCCGAGGAGGTGAAGCAGGGATTTTTGGGGAATGGAAGTGGGTGGTGGGAGGTGTGGGGGAGATGGAGGTCTTGATCCAAGGAGTTGGAGGGTAAAGTCAAATCTTTTTCTTTGTATTATTGAAAAAATCGAAATTTTGAAGAAAAAATGGTGATTCAGTGGGAGGGGTTAAATCTTGATCCAAGGAGATGGAGAATACAAAAAATCTTCGAAAATAAATGAAAATTTGGCAACCCTGTATAATTTTGGAAAATTGGATCTTAATGGGAGTGTGGAGGTCTTCACATAAGGATAAAGAAAAAAAAAATATGAAATTCGAAAAAAATATTCGAAAAAAATTCGAGGAGCGGAGGTGATCCGGGGGATGCAGCAGAAGGCGCTGCAGAAGGTGTAGCATGGGCGGCGCGAGCGGGCGGGCAGGCGGGAAGGTGCTGGTGGGCAGATGGGCATGGGCAGCCAGGCACAGGTGGGCAGGCTTGGGCGGGGGGCATGGGGGGCCAGAAATCAGGACCGGAAGTGGGGGGGTCAGTGCGCATGGTGGCCATCTTATGGTACGTTTTGCCCACTGTGTGTGGGACACGTTGTCAATAAAGGATCACATTATACTCCTTATGTGTACATTTCCAGCTAGAACTATGCTCTGAAAGCCGTCATATTGGCAAGCAACTCCACCTCCCTGACCCATAGTCAGGTCGTTCCAATTTAGCCCACCCTGGTAATTTCTCAGTCCCAAGAAATTGGAAAAGCTGAAATCTGTGACAGAGACTTGATTGCAGTTATTTGGGTAATTCCCTGATATGTTGAAACTAAGTGATTTGTGATCGCTTTCTCCAAGCTCATCATTAATTAACCTCAAGATTATTAATTAGTGATTCCTAGGTGGCAAGAACCATGTCTAGCAGATTGTGTCCTCTAGTTGGTGCTCCATCATCCACGAAACAGGTGTTTACTTCGCTCGTATATCCTACATAGATTTCTTTACCCTTTGTGTAGACGAGAAATGGGGCAAGAGGATAGCCTCATTGAACACCATTCGTTGAATTTATTTCATGTTCCCCAGTGTAGACTATCGACTCCTTCCTGTGTCTAGAAGGACAGTCTAGTTTTAATTTTGCATTGTCAAATAAGCTATTGATACACGCTCTTGCCACTGATAATCTTTCTTGTCAGACTCCAAAGCGTTAGTTTGAAGCAACGTAGTAGCCTCTTTTCAAATACTTCAGACAGCAGCTTCAGAAACAAGGAGGCGATTAGTGTTGCTTTCAGCTAAGGACTTATTTCCTGCATTTTTCTTTTTAAGGGCACACTGCAATGCACCAAAGATCAAACGTGTAATTTTGTCTGGAATCAGACAAGCTTTTTAACTGTGAATATGATAATGGTCACAATACTGACAGGTTGATAAGTAAGACACTTGCAACAGTTAGGTAATTTTATTCCATCTCTTCTTTCATCAAGATTTTGCGCCTCACATTGACAGTATATTAGTCTTCATTCTTATTCGGTCAGCTTCACATTTTTCCAGACTATGGAGCAGAATTCTTCTCCAGGCTGAGGGACTGACCATCTCTAAACTACGTCTTTGAGACTAATGGACTGATTACATCGTCTTTACATTTCTATTGCTTCTGTTGCCTCCTCTACTAGACTGAAGAAGCCTACTGTTTAGGCGAAACTTTCGGAATAAAAACACCTCACTGTTTCACACGTGTCTTATCCAACTGAAAAGTTGTTAACGAACCATTTGATGTCCAACAGACGGGTATCTGAAATATGTTTTCTGCCATTTATATATTGAAGACTCACACAGGGTATGAAGCACAGACGTTTTATATACAAAAATATATTTTGTAGTATATATATCTAGAAAATTTAATTCATATTTATGTAGTTAAGATATTGTTCACGATTGGTGTTCAGGTCACATGCAGTGTTAATGACCCTGATGTAGGTGATAGCACGATATCTGCTTAACAATGATATTATCTCTCATTGACAGGGGCAACTGGTTACGCAGACCAAGCATGGGAAGATAACTTAAACGATTTATCTTCTGTAAGTACATTTCTTCGTTCTTCATCTCTACCATTTCCTGCTTTTTCATTTTTGTTTTGTTTTTACATTGTCCTCCCTTCGTCGTTGCGTTTCCCTCCTGCCTCTCTGGCAGCTCTTCACTTGAGAAATGACAACACCGAACTGGACACATTTTATGTCTACTACTCACCTATTTATAACTCCAGTATGTATGTATTTATGTATTTCAATTGTACCTTTTATGTATGTCTATTGCAGTGCCATATCTATCACTAGTCGTAGTTCTGTGAGTTTTATCTGATGTGTACTAACATCTGCTGCAACAATGTATGTGAATATTGATTTATAGTGTGAATGACAAAGTTATTAATGTGCATTCATGGTGAACCACTGCATGTGTTAGGATAGGAAGGGATAGCAATGTGTGATCCCAGGATAGGAGGGTATCTAACTCTTTGGATAATGTACCTCTCACTGCCCCCAGACAAGACTTAGGAAATCGAAAATAACAAGATGGCAAACATCTTCACGTGAAGGAAATTTATCTTGAATTATAATATTATAATAAAAAAGAAATTTAATTGATGATAGTATTAATTGATGATAGTATTAATTGATGATAGTATTAATTGATGATAGTATTAGTTGATGATAGTATTAATTGATGATAGTATTAATTGATGATAGTATTAATTGATGATAGTATTAATTGATGATAGTATTAATTGATGATAGTATTAATTGATGACAGTATTAATTGATGATAGTATTAATTGATGATAGTATTAATTCATCGACACCATGCCTAACCCTTCTAGGGTAGGGTAGGTGCCTGAGCCCGAGCCTTTAGCTCATAAGACTGTCATTCCCATTAGCCCCCTTGAGGCGGGGATGGCAGACCAGAGAGGCCTAGCTTGTGGCTAGGCCTGGGGACAGTTGGTCCCAAAGATGAGGAGGTACTTGTGCCTCCTCCCATGGGAGACTTAGGTCTCAGACACTCCCTAAAGAGGGAGCCAAAGCCGGGCCACCACTTGGAAAAGGCCCGGGCCGGGAGAATACCGGCTAATCTTTAATAATAATAAAATAATAGTATTAATTGATGATAGTATTAGTTGATGATAGTATTAATTGATGATAGTATTAATTGATGATAGTATTAGTTGATGATAGTATTAATTGATGATAGTATTAATTGATGATAGTATTAATTGATGATAGTATTAATTGATGATTAGTATTAATTGATGATAGTATTAATACGAATTTGTCGTTTTGCAGGAGGATGAGGAGGACGAAGCAGAATTTATCAATGAAGCGAACATCTTATATATCAAAGGCAACTACCAAGATGCGTTAGATAAATATAAAAATTTTGTGAACAGATTTAGATGCATGGACGAAGAGTTACCCAACATATTCCTGAAAATGGCCAATGCTTTTTACTTCACTTTTGATTTAAAAAATGCACTGACATGCTATGAGAGAACCATTAAAGAAGCTGAGTAAGTACTCCACTTCTTTTTATGTAAAGAATAAATATTAAATGTGAATACAACAAATGTAAATCTTAATGTTAACAGAACTAACACTGTTTTATTTACTTCTACAGTAGTTATGATTTACAGGTTAAAAAGACAATGTCAGGGAAACACCCGACAAAAAAAATAATTCATGAGATGATAATTAGTGAGATGATTACAAAAAAAAAACCATACCACGGACGGGGATATAATCCACGATCAGAGGGTCATAAAACTCCAGACTGGCGCGTTAGCCACTGGCGCAGTGGCTAAAGCGTCGGTCTGGAGTTTTATGACTCTCTGATCGCGGGTTCTATCCCACCCGTGGTATGGTTTTATCGAGCATCTACTGTGGATGACCACGCCAGCAGCAGAGCTTATAATGAAAAAAAAAAAAACACTGGTTACAAAGGTTGGTAATTATACTCCATTTTCATTATTGGTAACCAGGTCATGTATAAAATAAATGAAGCAATATTCCTGGTAGATCACTTTACCTGGTCAGGAAAAGAGTGGAGGAGAATTGGTTCTCCACATTCCCATGTACACCAGGTAAGGTTATTACTACGAGGAGTAGAAACTGAGGAAACACAGACCCGAAGGAATCTGGAGCTTTGCAGCGGCCCACTAGATGGTAGTGCTGGCGGTGACACACTGCAACATTGGCTCAGAGTCTGAACTACCATAAGCCCATTTCACTGACTTTTACCGCACAACACTAATGCACAATTTATGATATTTATTAGAGTAATCTTTTTTATTACAGGGACTCTTAACCTTTTTGTTCTTCTGTAGCCCTTGGTCGTTCTGACAGGTTCCCATGTAGCCCTTGGTCGTTCTGACAGGTTCCCAATATAGCCCTTGGTCATACTGACAGGTTCCCATGTAGCCCTTGGTCGTTCTGATAGGCTCCCATATAGCCCTTGGTCGTTCTGATAGGATCCCATGTAGGCGATTCCAGGCTAAGGGACTGATTACCTCAAACTCCTCCTCTCGATACCCCTAGACTAAATACTCAAAACTCAATATTTAACTTTACCCAAAAACCTCACAATTACCTAAATCTTAGAACTTCAAGACTAGACGCCCTAGTTCATACATTGACTAATACTACATAGTAGTATAAATACCTACCCAAAACAATACTGCCCTACACCCAATTGTAGCATTCTCATACTGTAAAGTACTTTCGGCAAATCACAATGTTATATTTCCATAATATAATTTCAATATTTACTATTGAAAGTACTGTACAACTTAAACTATGATAAATTTCTTTAGTATTAAGTAGTCTGTAAGCCATTAAATTAAGTCTACCCATAATGCCTTGGCAAGCTAGTGGTTCTTTGCACTGCAACTAATTATTGTAAATACATAATCTCAAAGTGAAATTGAGACACATGTGCAACATCTGGGTATCTTTATTGTAGACGTTTCGCCATCCAGTGTCTGACACCGCAACATCATGGAATCTTGATTCTGAGGACATGTACATAACCTTCACGACTACGAAAACTACTACTACAACTAACCCATCTCTTTGGGTAGGACCTACTTCCACTGGGGAATCCCGCCTACCAGTGACTATGCCCTCGTCAGCTACCCGTCCCATTTCCACCTGACGTTACTATATAAGCGTCAGGCGCCTTGCTTCTGCTTCAGAACCTCCACGACTACGGTGCTCTTCGCACCTACTGCTAGGTGCAGACAGCATTCCTCTGCTAGCTTCCGCATTGGACAGACGTACCTGCTCCCGGTTGGCTGTATGCTTTGCTTGCTCCTGATTGGCTGCATGCTTTGCTTGCTCCTGATTGGCTGCCTTTCGATCCACTTGCTGGAAGAAGCTTTTGGTGTGTTTGTTAAGGAAAAATAGCATTGATTTTCTTGTTTTAAGAAGACATTGCCTGATTGGTTGATTTCTGGAAACTCTTCATCTTGGCTCCAGGACTTGGTGCGTCGCTGGCTGCCTGCCCCAGGGCAGACCGTTGGCCTCTGCACTCTTGCAGCTGGGTGAAGTCTTCCCACCTCAACCTGTTGGATGTTACCTGCTGGTATATTGTTCAAGAGCATCACGACCACACCTATGCACTCTGTGTATGTGTAATCCTTGCATACCGACATCCTCTTACTCGTGTTCGGCTGTGAAGGCATCTTTGAGAATTAGACAGCTTTTTTTTAAACCAATATCTTTTTTTTGTGTGACACGGGTTTAGCTCTCTGTTGTGCCGTAATCTCCTCAGAGGCCAGCCAAGCCCTCTTCATTGAGGTGGTTAAAGATCCCCACACAGTGGATCGGCTTGACTATATCGCTCTGGAGACACCAGCACCTTTCTCTCCTCTAAAATTTTCTTCTTTTTTTCTGGATCGGCTGGACCTGCTCCTGCGTCGGTGGGAGTATTCGTCTGGTCCGGTGCCCGTGGCTGCATTCCTTGTAATTAACGCACGGGAAACCTAATCTTGGCAGGTACACCTACAACACAAACATGATCTGTCAGAATTACGCACTTGACGCCCCTTAGACGCCACTCACGATTCAAGCGGCATATCCACCTGTGCTGTTGTCATCATGGGAACTACACAGAGACCCAGTTTTCCGACAATGGCCTTGATGTTAAAGTACTCTAAAGCTGACAAGGATACGATTGACTATGCCTCTACCTTTTTCAATATTACCCAGGCTCGAATGATAAACATCTTCAAGACCCATACCGGATGTAAGGTTAATCTTGATCCTGTCAACTATGACCTATGTACAAGTAAGGAAGTCCGAGAAAAGCTCTTTCAGGCAGGTTTTGCTATCGATTGGGCTCCTGATCAAAAGGCCAGGAGTACAGTCGTGGCAAAATTTGTTGACTCATCACTGCTAAACGAATACACCCAGAACAAAGACGCCTTGATGACAGACATTTCAACTCAAAATCAAGTCACAGTTGAGGAACTTTTCCATCCTGAACGCTCTAATATCCTTAAGATCAGATGTTCCACTCCAGATGAGGCTGATACACTGTTCAAACATGGTGTTCGAGCTAACTACTTTCTTATTCCACCTACTTCATTGTTTCTACCTAACTATGTCGCTATTCATCAGTGCTACAAATGCCTTGAGTTTGGACATCTAAAGAATACTTGTGACAAGCAACAGCTGTGTTCCAAGTGTTCTTCTCCAGGCCACACATGGCAAAAATGTTCCAACACTCTAAAATGTTTGCACTGTTCTCAGGCACATTCTGCTACTTCTTTCAACTGCCCTACTCGTAAGGATTATGTTTCTTCATTACGGAAAGACCAACCTCTGAACCTCCCAAACCCAGTCTTGACTCCACGCTCACAAACACAGACAACATTCTCATCCACTTACCAACCAAACTCTTATGTTCCTCCTGCTACCACTTCTACAACTCATCCTTCCTATGCTGCTGCTGCACAAACCAACCTTCCCTCGGCCTCTTCATCCTCAAAACAATCTAATATCCTTGAAACCATTGTGCTCACTGCTGTATACTGTCATAAAGCCAACTATCCAACGATGCTGAATGATCTTTTGAAAGCCAACAACTTTGACCCCATCATTTTCCCTCCTGATTTCTTTCTTCCTAAGGATGAACTTTTTCCCAACTCCTCTCTCTCCACTCCAGAAACTCCTCTTCAAGCTTCTACTCAGGCAGACCCTTCTCCTTCCACCCATATGCCAAAATCCTGTCCTTCTAATCCTTCCACCAGTTCTGGCTCTAACACCAAACGATCTCAACCTCCTTCTTCCTCTACTCGTCCTTCTCGTTCTCCTACTCTCAAGTCTCGATCTACTACTGTGGTACAACGGTATAACATCTCTCCCGGATTCGACAAATGTCTGGATAAAGTTCAGCACTTAATAAATCAAGCCCCGCCCTCGCCCTCTCCCTCTCGCCCCAACTCATCCTCTCATCTTAACACTACACCTAGTACCACCTCCTACTCCAGGCCCCTCTCATCTTCCCCTTCCCGTTCTCAATCCAGAAACCGTAAAACACAACCGACCAAATATAGATCAGGTGCTGGGTTAGCACGATAAAAATAGGAAAGACTTACAATTTCGTCCTTCAAGTAACCCCAACCATGGCCCTTAAGGTTATTCAATTTAACATAAGAGCTTATAACGCAAACAAATACATTCTTGCTGACCTCGTTGAATCAGAACAACCAGACGTGTTGCTATTAAACAGCACGTGTGTTCGTGATGATCAACGTGTCAGACACTTAGGATATACAGCCCGTCAGTCTCCTGCTGAACACTGGAATGGCGTAGCTATTCTTGTTAAAAGTACAATTAAACATGAGTTCTTATCCCTTCCATTTACATATTCTCACAGCATGGCTGTGAAAATTTACACAATACACGGACCCATCATCGTGTACACGACATATATTAGACCCCATCAAAACATTAACATTCATGATTTAACCATTCTTTTTAATCATACACATCTCCCTGTATACCTACTTGCCGACCTAAATGCCAAACACACAGACTTCCATGACAACTTCACAAATTTGCATGGAAGGCAACTTCATACACTTGTAACACAGAAACATCTCATGCACCTCGGACCTTACTTCCCAACAGTCTATACACACAATGGCCAAGGCATCCCTGATAAAATTTTTACAGAGCTAGTAATCGCTTACATCACTACACAACACCAGGACCGCTCTCTGGATCTGACCACATTCCTTTCATTTTGCATATTTCCTTAAATCCTATACTCATTCCAGTTCGCCCCTCTCCAGCTTATTCTCAGGCGGACTGGGATCTGTTCAAACAACGCCTAAACACTCTTGATCTCACACACAACTATGACAATAGACCAGTATCAGACATAGACACACAAATTCAACGCATTCAACAATCAATTACCCAAACTGCTACAGAGGTTGTCCCAATGACACACCACAAAGTACGATACTCTTTTCGCCCATCAGAAAGAACAAAAAGATTACTCACATGTTACAGACACTGTTTCCTAGCAAACCAAAACAGACTCAATATCATCCGATGGGACCTCACTATTTTACGTACACATATCATCCATAGCCTAGACGATGACCACGCCCGACATTGGCAATCAGTTATAAATCATACAGATGTACAGCGTACAAGAGATCCCAAAGCATTCTGGTCATCCATTCGGAAACTTACAGGCACCCCTCGATCCACAACCTTTAGACACATAAACAGCAACAACAGACAGATCTCTGACCCTGCTGAAGCGGTACACATTTTCAAAGACATATGGGAAAACATCTTCCACCCACATCCACCAGACCTAGCTGTCATAGCACATACATTAGACATAGAGAGATGGGTATCCAACCATGAAGAATTAACCAATCCTGATCAAATCATAAACCTAAACACCCTATCTTCCACACATCCTCTAAACTCTCCTTTTACTGTAAATGATGTTCACTCCTTACTAACACACCTTCCAAACAAAGCTCCAGGTGCTTCAGGTCTGTCACATTCAGTCCTTCGTCACCTTCCACTTTCTGTTGCTTCTGCTATCACTGACCTCTTTAATGCCTCTCTTGCATCTGGCTATTTCCCCCCATTCTTTAAATCTGCAACTGCATGTCTCATACCAAAACCTGGGAAAGACTTGACTGACCCCAAGAACTATAGACCAATTAGCCTCCTTGAAATTTTGGGTAAGACCTTTGAACGACTTGTAAATATGCGACTCAGGACTCACCTAGAGACACATAACTTGCTTACTGAAAGACAATTCGGTTTCCGAAAAAAACGATCTACCCAAGACGTTTTGAATATAATCCTGAACTATATACGTATCAATAAAGCCCAGAACTGTACCTCCGCCCTTGTCGCCAAAGATGTAGAGAAAGCTTTTGACACTGTTTGGCATGAAGGATTAAAATACAAACTTTGCACTTCCTTTGACTTAACTATAAATATGATGAAATTATTATGTCATTTTTTAGATGGCCGAACGATGCGTATACGGTTCAGAGATCATTATTCGGACTATTTCACATTAAAAGCGGGTGTACCCCAAGGCTCTGTCCTATCTCCCACCCTATATATACTCTACACGAATGATTTACCTGAACCTCTATACCCAAACACAATTACCCTTTCTTACGCAGATGACATCACTCAACTCACAACACATGAAAACTTTCGTTTCCTTGCACGCAGAACACAAAGAGATGTCGACAGGATTACCGCCTGGGAATTATTATGGCGCATCAAAACCAACCCAAATAAGTCAAAAATCACTTACTTCCATAGAATGAGTGAAGTCCCCACTCCTGTCGAACTCAAAACAAGCACCTCCCGTACCCCCATCCCACGCTCCTTCACGACAGTTGTCCTTGGTATTACCCTCGACCACACACTGAACTTAAAATCTCACATTACTACAAAGACCATACTGGCGGGAACTGCACTCTCAAGGTTATATAAGCTGCGAGGAACCAGTCCCAAGACAAAACTACATCTTTACAAAGCACTCATTCGACCTCTACTCTCTTACTTTCCACTCGCTCTGACGTTAATTGCCAAGACAAACGCACTAAAATTTCAACGTATCCAGAATCGTGCATTACGTTGGGTGTTGGGAGTGAGGTGGGACGAATTTGCCACCAGTGAATCTCTCCACCTCACGACAAACACACCAGCTTTGAACGTATACTGGAAGACACTTAGTGACAAACAACTTGACAGACTTGAAACATATCATGACTACTGGACTACATACTTAGCTGATACTCTCAGACGTCCTTACAATGATGTAAATCTTTTTCAATCATTGAATGATCAGGCACCTCCACCACAATACACATAAATTATCTGACTTTTGCTTAAAAATTCAAATAACTTAAAAGTGCGTCTTTGTGCGTTTTTAGGGCTGAAGTGCTTGCGATGTGCGTTTTGCGTCGCCTTTGCAACAACGTGTCCCTGAACCATATCCAGTCATTGCAAGTTGAAGTGCTTCCAGTCAGTTGCAGTCAGCACCCGCAGAGTCCCTGTTGTCTTTTATGTCGTCTTCGTTATTGTTTATCCAGGCTTAGCAGTTGGGTTTAGTCCTGACTCTTCTCTCTTCAACTCAAGACATTCCTCTCACCATCTATCCTTCGCACTGTCCCCACTTGCCCCTCGCCCCTCGTGGGTCCTTACCTGTGAGTCCTATCGTATCGTATCGTATCGACTGCTAGGTTGAGGGACTGATTACCTCATCTTCTGTACATAGTTCTCCTGTCTTCAAGTTATGTCCTGGAATTTGTATTGATAAAGCCACTGGATGGCGAAACGTCTACAATAAAGATACCCAGATGTTGCACATGTGTCTCAATTTCATCTTGTCGGTATTGTATACCATTCTTGTACATAATCTCAAAGTACACTTGAAAAGAAGTAAAACTGACTATCGATATTATATGTTTCATTTTATAGGAAAAGGGGAAACAACTCAGTTAGGAAACTTGCTGAGGAGAACCGAGATAAGATTCAAAAAGCTGTTCAGAACCCTGGAAATATAACCCTTGCTGACGACTTTACTGAACTTGAAGTGAGTATTAACCGACTGTTTTACTAAGCAGTAGAAACATATCATAGAAATATTTACATTTTTTAATGGGAAATGCTATACCCACAGGGGTTACATAAGAAACTGGAAGACGATGAAGTTTGATCAGAGGAAGAGGATGAGTAGCTCTGATTCCTTGGATCAAGAGCCAGGAAGTAATTGAAAGTGTCTGAAGTGCATTTTGATCATGTCTTCTGTCAGTCTTTATTTCTCAAATTGTCAATATTAACTTCTATATTACAAGTGTTCTCACAGGTATTTTATTACCCATAAGTTCTATATTACAAGTGTTCTCACAGGTATTTTATTACCCATAAGTTCTATATTACAAATGTTCTCACAGGTATTTTATTACCCATAAGTTCTATATTACAAATGTTCTCACAGGTATTTTATTACCCATAAGTTCTACATTACAAATGTTCTCACAGGTATTTTATTACCCATAAGTTCTTTATAACAAATGTTCTCACAGGTATTTTATTGCCCATAAGTCTTTAGTGTATATCGACACAATACTACTACTACTACTACTACTACTACTACTATACTACTACTACTACTACTTCTACTACTACTACTACTACTACTACTACTACTACTACTACTACTACTACTGCTACTACTACTACTACTTCTACTACTACTACTACTACTACTACTACTACTATTACTACTACTTCTAATACTACTGCTACTACTACTACTGCTACTACTACTACTTCTACTACTACTACTACTACTACTACTTCTACTACTACTACTACTACTACTACTACTACTACTACTACTACTACTACTACTACTACTACTACTACTACTACTACTACTACTACTACTACTACTTCTACTACTACTACTTCTACTACTACTACTACTACCTCTACTACTACTACTACTACTACTACTACTTCTACTACTACTACTACTACTAGTAGTAGTACTACTACTACTACTAGTACTACTACTACTACTACTTTTACTACTACTACTACTAGTACTACTACTACTACCACTACTACTACTACTACTACTTCTACTACTACTACTACTACTACTACTACTACTACTGCTGCTACTACTACTACTAGTTTTACTACTACTTCTACTACTACTACTACTTCTACTACTACTACTACTACTACTAATACTACTACTTCTACTACTACTAGTATTACTACTACTACTACTACTACTACTACTACTACTAATAATAATAATAATAATAATAATAATAATAATAATAATAATAATAATAATAATAATAATAATAATGATAATATCTAACAACATTATAAAATAATAATAATAGAAGTAATGACTAGAAAGGTACAGTGGGTAGATAGACTCAACTGAACAGTTCAAGACATTTATTGAGGAAAGCTATCGTCCGGAATGGCTTCTTCAGTCCTAGTAGAGAGACAACTATAAGGTATGAGGTGCCCATCTGTGACAGACCAGAGGTAATAGTGATGATGATTTATGTTGAATATGAGAGTGACATGTCAGCAGTGGAGCAACATAGTGCAGTGCTCCCTGATGGAGAAGTGACAGAGTTAAAAGATTAATAATAATCTAAAATTTTCAAGGGGTGGACCGATGTCAGTGGAAGCCTCGGTCAGATGATGGAAAGTGGCGGGTCGTCATAACTAAGACCCGCGTCGGGAAGCACTTGCTCTGTTTCCTGATCAATCTTACCTACCCTAGTAGAAGTGATGTTGGTGGCTGGTACTATCTTATGGTAGTGTCATGGATGGCTAGTATGTGGCTAGCTAAGACTTTGAAGATGCTATTGAAACCTGATTTTTATGGGATGTTGTTGGTTACTGTTATTATGACGACCTTTAAACAGTAGATGGCGAAGGTTATTTTCATGTATAATTAGTTAAGCATCTGGGAATCTCATGTGGCGGCTCTGCTTCTTTCTGTACTGGACACAAGCATGGAATTTTAAATTCCCTTATTGTTACTTCCAGGAAGTTGAGTTTCTCCCACATACTTCTTATCACACCCTCCACAAGGTATGACAAACTCCAGCACGGACGGGTAGTTGTCAGTTTGTCTGCACTTCATAAAAACTGACAGATGGAAGAGTTTGTAACAATTTTAAACTGACAAACTCTCATTGTCAGGGAAACTGTTGAAGCTACGTTGTTCACAGACAGAACAATATATTGGGTTGGCATTTTCTCTATAGTGTCCACGTTGTTCCTAGAATGCGTGCTGCACGTTGCTTGGTAGGCAACGCTCTAGCTTCACACACTGAGTGTCCGTGGTTCAACCTCGGCACGGTTGGGAACATTGAACATGTTTCCTTACACTTTCTGTCACTGTTCATCTAGCAGTAATTAGTTACCTGGGTGTTAGTCACCTTACACCTCTCACTGTTCACCTAGCAGTAAGTAGTTACGTGAGTGTTAGTAGACTGATGAGGGTGGCATCCTGGGGGACGAGATTGAACGACCCAAATGGAAATAAGACAGCCAGTCCTTAATGATACCTGGAGTTTACTTGGAAAGAGTTCCGGGGGTCAACGCCCCCGCGGCCCGATCTGTGACCAGGCCTCATGGTGGATCAGGGCCTGATCAGCCAGGCTGTTACTGCTGGCTGCACGCAATCCAACGTACGACCCACAGCTCGGCTGGTCAGGTACCGACTTTAAGTGCTTGTCCAGTGCTTGCTTGCAGACAGCCAGGGGTTTATTGGTAATCCCACTTATGTATGCTGAGAGGCAGTCGAACAGTCTTGGGCCCCTGACACTTACTGTGTTGTCTCTTAACGTGCTAGTGACACCCCTGCTTTTCATTGGGGGGATGTTGCATCATCTGCCGACTCGTTTACTTTCGATGTGAGTGATTTTCGTGTGCAGGTTTGGTACTAGTCCCTCTAGGATTTTCCAGGTGTATATAATCATGTATCTCTCCAGCCTGTATTCCAGGGAATACAGGTTCAGGAACTTCAAGCGCTCCCAGAAAGTTCTCTGTACATTTTCTACGTCAGCAATTTCACCTGCCCTGAAAGGTGCTGTTAGTGTGTAGCAGTATCCAGCCTAGATAGAACAAGCGATCTGAAGAGTGTCATCATGGGCTTGGCATCCCTAGTTTTGAAGGTTCTTATTATCCATCCTGTCATTTTTCTAGCAGATGCGATTGTTACAATGTTATGGTCCTTGAAGGTGAGATCCTCCGACATGATCACCCCCAGGTCTTTGTTATTAGTTTTTCGTTCTATTGTCTGATTGGAATTTGTTTTATACTCGAAGTTTTAATTTCCTCGCGTTTACCATTTCAAAGTAATTGAAATTTCTCATCGCTGAACTTCATATTGTTTTCTGCAGCCCATTGAAAGATTTGGTTGATACACCGACTTTCTTGAGTTATCCTCGTGGCTAACCCTCCAGATTAAAAATCCAAAAATGTTCTTATCTTTTCTTACGAAATGAAGCTTGTGTAATGAATTCTTATTCTTTTCGAGGAACATTGGGTTGAACATCTTATATGACCTTAGAAAGAATCCAACCATAACAGCACTTTTAGTTATGTTATCGTGATAGGAGGAGAAAAGATGACATTGTGATTTCTCTATTGACTTTGATCAAGAGTCTGTCTCTGCCAGTGCGCAGTAACACGTCTAAGTATGGCAACTGGTTGCCATTCTCTTTTATAATGGTAAATCTTATAATCTGCTCGAAGCTGTTGATGGTGTTGAAGAAGCTGTGTGCGTCCAGCTGGTGGGTAAAATAATCAAAATATCATAGAGCTAACACAACCAAGTGTCTGAGTTGAGGCTGGCTATCAGTATGTAATTGATTTCCAGATTCTTCAAACTGTTGCTTGTACTTATGTTCCTCGACATTGAAAAAGTTGCACTGATAGTTTCATCGCCGATTGCAGGAAGCTTACAGAAAGCATTTTCAACCGGAACAATAGAAGAGATACCGGCCAAGTGCATTGTTTTGCTTGCTAGCAATGTACTGTAGCTTTAAACATGTCTCTGACAACGAGAAGTAGTTAGTTTAGAACAGATACAGACTCATATTCAGCACTGTGGTTGTGTTGTCACAACCACCAGTGCAGAAATTTGCGCCAGACCTAGTGGAAAATGTGTTAAGAAGTACGTGGGACAAACAGCAAGATCCCTGGAAGTAAGAACACGTAAACCAGTACAGAAAATGACCTATACAGTCGATGGTGTTTAGAGGCCGTAATAATATAAATAATCTTTGTTTCTACAAGTACATGTACAAGATATACATGCCTAGCTGTCATCAGTTATATAAAACTATATAGAAAGCTCCTTGTTATGCAGAGCATTTCTGGCAAATTAGGTCAATTTTCTCCCAGGAACCGCTGTATAGCTCTTGTGGCTTAGCGCTTCTTTTTGATTATAATAATAATAATAATCTCCCAGGAAGCAACCCACACCAATCGACTATCACCCAGGTACCTATTTTACTGATAGATAACAGGTACAGCAGATGTGTTAAGGAAACACGTCCTAATGTTTGTTCCCATACCAGGAATCGTATCACGGACCTCAGTGTGTAAGTTAAGTGCCCTAGAAAGTGAGCTACAAGACACCGTAGCTTGTTAGGACCAGTGACCAACACTTTCGCACATCAATAATGTTTATATAACGTTTCCAGCCTTAGCAAAGCACTTATTACACAACCTGGGCACTGTTATTAGATGACACCATCCATCAGTGTCACCTCCGCACTTACCTGCTAACAGATCCTTCTCCGTTCCTGCACATCACAGATCAGCTTATATTACCTCTAGCCTCTCACAACGTCACTTTATTCCTTCAGCTCTTTAAACTCGTTTCTTAATTGTCTATATCCTAGGACTGGAAGAAGTCAGTTCCTCGGTAAGTGTCTTGAACTGCGCAAATATGTCTTATCTACAAACAATAAAAATAATATTGCCCTCAAAGTATTGGATTTATGATTTTATCATATTATCACTGGGAAGAGCCATAGATGCACAACTTATACAACATATTGGGAATGGAAGGTAATTACATTTTATCTAAGAAAGAAAAGTCTAGGTTATGTTTCCTGTATCAAGAACCTTCTCTGGTTGTACAGTAGCTTTGTATTACGTATTTCCCAGGACAACTATTATTAAGTTTAATATCTTCATCTGTTAATTAGAATGTTCTTCGCACTAGTTTGTATAAAATTCTATTGTTCCAAGGAATACTGTGGGTGTAATAGAACTTTACGTTTTTCAACAGAGGCTGATGGCAGAAATGACCTTGGGAGACAATTAATGGTCAGTTTACACTGCTGGCTGACCAACGATTCTGTTGCTGTCCACAAATCCACCAATACCTGTATAGCACACTATCAATTTTTTAATTCTAATACATTCTTTAAATGTATTTCTTAACACTCCGGCCGTCTCCCACCGAGGTAGGGTGACCCGACAAAAAAGAAAACACTTTCACTGTCACTCGTTCAATGATTATCTTACCAGGAGCATGATGACATTACAGTTCAGACGACCTTCCAAACCGCTTCCATCACAACACAATGTATTTTCCACCTCCAGGACTCAAACCTAACTAACCACTTTCATGAATTTCAAAAAAATAATGATAACTTGCTGACACTCCAACAACACGTCAAATCACAAAGACAACTTCTCTCTACTGATGCCTATCTAAGAGACCAACACTTGCCTGTTGAATGTCCAATTTCATAGCACTGAAAACCTCCTTTACACCCTTCTTCCAGTCTTTCCTAGGACGATCCCTACTCCTCCATCCCTCCTTCCAGTCTTTCCTAGGACGATCCCTACTCCTCCATCCCTCCTTCCAGTCTTTCCTAGGACGATCCCTACTCCTCCATCCCTCCTTCCAGTCTTTCCTAGGACGATCCCTACCTCTTCATCCCTCCTTCCAGTCTTTCCTAGGATGATCCCTACCCCTCCATCCCTCCTTCCAGTCTTTCCTAGGATTGCCCCTACCCCTCCATCCCTCCTAGTATTTCCTAGGATGATCCCTACCCCTTCATCCCTCCTTCCAGTATTTCCTAGGACGTTCCCTACTCCTCCATCCCTCCTTCCAGTATTTCTTAGGACGATCCCTACCCCTCCATTTCTCCTTCCAGTCTTTCCTAGGACGATCCCTACCCCTCCATCCCTCCTTCCAGTCTTTCCTAGGATTGTCCCTACCCCTCCACCCCACCTTCTAGTATTTCCTAGGATGATCCCTACCCCTCCATCCCTCCTTCCAGTATTTCCTAGGACGTTCCCTACTCCTCCATCCCTCCTTCCAGTATTTCCTAGGATGATCCCTACCCCTCCATCCTTCCTTCCAGTATTTCCTAGGATGACCCCTCCCCCTCCATCCCTCCTTCCAGTATTTCCTAGGACGTTCCCTACTCCTCAATCCCTCCTTCCAGTATTATTCTAGGACGATCCCTACTCCTCCATCCCTCCTTCCAGTATTTCCTAGGACGATCCCTACCCCTTCATCCCTCCTTCCAGTCTTTGCTAGGATGATCCCTACCCCTCCATCCTTCCTTCCAGTATTTCCTAGGATGATCCCTACCCCTCCATCCCTCCTTCCAGTCTTTGCTAGGATGATCTCTACCCCTCCGTCCCTCCCAGCATTTCCTAAGATGACCCCTACCCCTCCATCCCTTCTTCCAGTATTTCCTAGGATGATCCCTACCCCTCCATCCCTCCTTCCAGTATTTCCTAGGATGATCCCTACCCCTCCATCCCTCTTTCCAGCATTTCCTAGGAAGATCCCTACCCCTCCATCCCTTCTTCCAGTATTTCCTAGGATGATCCCTACCCCTCCATCCCTCCTTCCAGAATTTCTTAGGATGATCCCTACCCCTCCATTCCTCCTTCCAGTATTTCCTAGGACGATCCCTAACCCTCCATCCCTCCTTCCAGTATTTCCTAGGATGATCCCTACCCCTCCATCCCTCTTCCCAGTATTTCCTAGAATGATCCCTACCCCTCCATCCCTACTTCCAGTATTTCCTAGGATGATCCCTACCCCTCCATCCCTCCTTCCAGTATTTCCTAGGATGATCCCTACCCCTCCATCCCTCCTTCCAGTATTTCTAGGATGATCCCTACCCCTCCATCCCTCCTTCCAGTATTTCCTAGGATGATCCCTACCCCTCCATCCCTCCTTCCAGTATTTCCTAGGATGATCCCTACCCCTCCATCCCTTCTTCCAGTATTTCCTAGGATGATCCCTAACCTTCCATCCCTCCTTCCAGTGTTTCCTAGGATGATCCCTACCCCTCCATCCCTCCTTCCAGTATTTCCTAGGACGATCCCTAACCCTCCATCCCTCCTTTCAGTATTTCCTAGGACGATCCTACTCCTCCATCCCTTCTTCCAGTATTTCCTAGGACGATCCCTACCCGTCCATCCCTCCTTCCAGTATTTCCTAGGACGATCCTACCCCTCCATCCCTCTTTCCCTCCACCACAGATTAATACTCCCTCTTAGTAGTCCTATATTGCTCCATCATCTCTGTATAAGTATACTGCTTCACAACCCCTAATTATCCCACTTAACAATTCTTTTGGTAAGTCTACACTTAGTTCTAATCACAATACTCAGAATTCGCTGTATAATATAATCAAACAAAATAAGTTAGAAAAATAACGTATTTTCCGGCATATAAGACGCACGAGCAACTACGACATAAAAGACTATAATACCAAGCAGCTGTAATATAACGTTAGTAAACAACTACTGAAGTGTAACCCAGAGCCTAACCTTGTCCATCACATTGAGCATATAAGGCGCGGTCCGATTTTCCAAGACTTTTTGATTGGAGAAAAGAGCGCCTTATGTGCCGGAAAATATGTTATATGTCTTTTTTTAAATGATAAATCAAGGGGGAAAAAATACTAACTGTAGAGTGGAAAAACTAGTGAAGCCATTGTATAGGGAAATGTCTGAAAATAAAAGTCTTTTAAAACAGCTATGTCTTTGTGTAAAATAAAATAAAAAAATGTATCTATTAAAAAAAAAAAAAAATAAGGTATGTGGACATTTTGAAAAAAGATGGAGCAACAGAGGAACAAAATAAAATGAAATTCTAAAGTAGTTGATGCAATTAATGCAATACCATAAAATAACACTAGCACCATGGACACCAGTGAACGTAAGTCACTGTCGCACCATTCTGCATGATCCACGAGGGTAATTTACACTATGTATGATAATTGTACTTGTGTGTACCTGTGCCTAAATAATCTCAAGTTGAAAAATGGCAAAATGGCATCAACGCACTCATTAAATATACCAGTTATATTTTACGTAAAATATACCAGTGTAAAAGTCTATGGGAGGAGCTGTGTCTACCTGTCAGACGGTTACAAAATTTGAGAAAGTATAATGTATCATTGTAAATAAAATATCCACACGCAAATGTTCCATGGATATTCCTCTACATATATTACTCAAGAATTGAAAATTTGAAACCTACCGATTAAGGAGTTCTTGAGTAACTAACGAGAGAAAACAATGGGAAATGTAACTGAGTGTTGGAAATAATAGGAAAGTCTCGCCTCGTGCGGCCTGCAGTAACAGCCTGGTTGATCAGGCCCTTATCCACTGGGATAAGGGGAGATACCCTCCAGGTAGACTTCTCCAGGTCTTGACTTATTTACATTATATTTGTAATTCTCTACAATCTTGTAAAAAATATTTATATTTAAAAAAAAATCCTTATTTTATAAAACTGGCAAAAAAAGGAGACGTTAGAAGCCTGAAATTAACAGGAAAATATTTCTTTTTATAATAAATAAGCATTTAGGGTTTGAAGCTGATCAGAAGAAGCATTCTTTAGTTCTTACTTGAGAACCAACTTCCTTAATATAACTGGCAAATTGAAATTTACACATCTTAGAGCGACGAGTTGTATTATAATAAATCCCACGAATGAAAAAGGTTAAGGCCAATCAGACAAAAAATATTTTCCAGTAATTGATATGATTCCAACCATCTCAAAATTTTTAACTATTTCAGAAAAAAAAAAATTGCACGAAATTTAATAAAACATATGTGGCGTCATATTTTTCATAAACTATATTGTCAATAATATTTTGAAGGCAGTCAGAAGAAGTACTTTTTATTTATTTAGTAAAGTTAAGCATTACTATTTACTCACCTGGACTGGAACTGTCGTCCACATAAGTTTTATTCTTGGTATTGGGTTACTACACAAATAACCTGCACATAGAAGAGAGGAGCTTACGACGACGTTTCTGTCCGACTTGGACCATTTACAAAGTCACACTAACGAAAAGGAGAGAAAGAGGAAGTAAATATAGGCAGTAGGTGGTGGTAGTAGTAGTGGAGGTAGAAGGTAGTGTTGGAAGGTAGTAAGGAGAAGGAGCCAATCAAATACTCAGAAAGAAGAGCACTGCAAGAGAGATAGGTGCCCACAGAGGGTAAAAGCAAGAACACAGAGGGAGGGGGGTTAAATAAATAAATAATAAAGGAACAAATCCCCTAGGCAGAAGAAAGACAACCCAAAGGGGAAAAAGGGAAGAGGAGAGGGGAAGAGGGAGAAGAAGAAGAAGGAGGAATCAGGTTAAGTCAAGGGTATTCTGAAGTTTGAAGCATTTTACAATGTAGTGGGAGAGGAAGGCATCTACGGAGACGAAGCCAGGACTAAGATTCTTACAAGTAAAGTTGTGTATTAGAGAGGGTTCAACAAGACTGCGACTGTCAAAGTTGGAAGTAGGGAAGACAGTTTTAGCAGAAGACCAGTCAACAGGATGGTTGTGATCTCTGACGTGACAGAAAAGAGCATTGTTAGTGTTGGCAAGCCTAACACTACTTTGCGCTCCCTAAGTCTGTCAGAAAGAGATCGTCCAGTTTCTCCAAAGTAGTGACAGATGCAGTTTAATATAGACAAATGCAAAGTTCTAAATGTTGTACAGGAAAATAACCATGCCACATATAAACTAAATAATGTAGATCTTAATATTATGGATTGCGAAAAAGATTTAGGAGTTCTGGTTAGCATTATTATTATTATTATTATTATTATTATTATTATTATTATTATTATTATTATTATTATTATTATTATTATTATTATTATTATTATTATTATAATCAAAAAGAAGCGCTAAGCCACAAGGGCTATACAGCTTCTGGTTAGCAGTAACCTGAAACCAAGACAACAGTGCATAAGTGTTCGCAATAAAGCTAACAGACTCATTGGCTTCATAGCAAAAAATATAAATAATAGAAGACCTCAGGTTGTTCTTCAATTCTATATATCCTTGTTTAAGCCTCATTTAGATTATGCTGCACAATTCTGGAAAACATACAAAGGAGGATGACAAAGTTGATCCCATGTATCAGAAATCTTCCCTCTGAGGATAGACTGAGGGCCCTGAAATCTGGGTGGATATCCGACCCTATCCTGGTTATAAAAATCCAAACTATATTTTATCTTATCAGGAGGACTTAAAAATCTATACATTCTATAAAAGTTATCTGAGATTTTCAT